TATGTGAATTTGATTTTTTTGAGGTGGTCCTGTGTGCATTAATGAATGGAAAACAGGCACAGTATCTGCTGGTTTTGTGCTCATTCAGAGAGAAATTGCATCAGCATGTCAGAGTCCATGCTGTTGAAGCAGTCATAGCCTGCCGTGAAATTGAGCAGAATTTACAGTCTCTCACTGGTAACAATTAATCAATGGTTTTCTTATTACTTTTCTCTATTTGTTGGTTTCATTGTCTAATGAACTCAAATGTGTGTGCCATAAAAATGTATGTTTTGGTAGTGAAATGTTATTCTTGAACACTTATAGTTTGTTAAACTCATTTTCGTAAGTATAATAAATTTTCATTGAAAAAAATGATTGTAATGAGGCCAACTCGCAACAGTTTTCGAGTGAATTAGTTGTTTGTATTTATATATATACATGTCGGTAGAACGGCTGAATAGGTGGGTAAGATGACTCGAAAACGATATTTGGATTTTTGGTGAGTTAGTGTTAAGTATATACAACAAGAGGTGGGTGTAGTGTATATATATGTAGTTTGGAGAGGTATAATATTTACTATTCAGTTAGTTGGGTGATGGAGGAAATAGCAAGTGATAGTGAACCATGATCTGATTTTAGAATATACCATTGACCAACTCAGAAATAATGTTGGCATGTCTGTGCGATTCATTGTTCCGGTGTTGTCTTTTCTTTTTCAACAACTGTTCATTGTGTCGTGTTGAAATCCGAATTGTAAACTGAAGACTAGCTAAGCTAGGTTAATTCTGAAATACAAGAACATTAGTTTTGAGTTGCTTAGAGGGATTTCAACTACTGCTTATTAGCAAAGTACAGAAAACGACACAAAATTGCCACATTTTTTTTTTGTATGTGTAATGTTAGCTATATTCGATTTCCAGTCCAATAGACCTTCCAGAAAGGAATTCTAGAATAACTCGACTGAACTTAGTATTATCCGATTGCGATTGATAAATAATTTACTTCGGCAGATCGTTTAGCCCCGTTCTTGGTAAGCTGTCTTATTTAATGAGATTTGTTTTATCACAGTTATAACACACCTCTCTCTTCATAACTCGTATGCACCCGTGACATGCATGAACATGAACACATTTTTTGTACAAATTGCATAATCTGGACATAATAAATTGGGAATTTTATCGACCTAACTTTTTCTCATGTCCCGA